AAGGTGGTGTCGCTGGAGTTGAGTAGAGTCGTCGAGTCATTAGCTAAATGTTGATCGGCTTTGGTTTGTAAAGCAGCAAATAAAGCCTGCTTGAATTGTTCGAACAGTTCATTATTACTAGCATCTCCCTGACCTTCTTGTTCCAAACCTCCTGCCGTTAAACGTGTGCTATCATTTAAAGTACTTTCGGGTTCTTCCTCATATTCGTGGGTCTCATTAGAATCGGAAAATCTTACTCTAACCTGCGGAGTAGTTTGCTGGGGATATGAAGATTCGGTGGTTTCTATAGTTTTATGAGTAGTGTCATCTGATTCACTACTTTCTATATCTTCGGTAAGTTGTGATTCCTCCTCGTCCTCCTCTTCTGTCTGTTCTGCTTCAGCTTTCTGCGCTAATAAGACTGGTTCCAAACGTTTATTTCTCAGGTCTTCTTGGACTGGTATATTATCTTCAGATTCATTTAGTTTTTCTGTAATTCTTCTTTGCATAAACTGTTTAAGGCAGGTACTGTCCATATCAAAACTACCATTTTTAGCTTTTTGTTCCAAAAGTTCAAATATACTTTCCTCTGTCTGAGGTAATACGTCTATGCGATTTCTAGGCACTTGTAAAGGTTCTATTTCTAAAGGATCTAAAATTTTCGACCAAGCCACAACAGGAGCAATTTGTGGGGGAGTTTTCTCGGGAATTTTTGATTTTTCATCTGTAAATTGTACTTTTGCGGTAGAGGCTAAAGAATTTGTCTTAGAAACTGGTAATTTTTTATTTGCTGCATACAAAGACTTATTATCCGGGGTAGAACTGCAAGTATTTTTGGACGAAATTAACAAATTCTGGAAACGCTGCTCATGAGCATCTAGAGTTAAGGGAGGATTTGTTGTTGTCAATTCATTTCGTTTAGTAGATTTTGTATTTATAATTGTAGGCTTTTTAAAACTATTAGACGGTTTTAATCTTAAACTGGGATGGGCATTAGCATACTTATATTTTGGCAAGTTATTGAGCCTGAATTCATTGGGATCAATTTTAAAGCGCTGCTTAAGACCCTCACCTCTCTTCAAGAAAGGTTTCTTAGGTTTATTTGGATGCAATTCCAAACCTTGTTCTGTTTCATAGCCAGAAGTTAAGGTCTTATAAGAATGAGGTTCTAAATCATTTTCATGACAATCATTATCGGTTTCCTCATCTCCCTCCTGTTGAGAATTTTGTAAACTTTCTTCAGTACTTTGTTCCTCATATTCTTCTTGCTCGTTAGCGGCCAAATCTTCTTCCCTTGCACCTCTTTGTACATCCTGCAACAAACTAATTTCTTGATCACTTTGCAAACCCAACATTTGATACATATTCTGCTGCTCCAAGCCCAACATTTGCCTCTGCATAGTTTGTCTGGCCTCCAGCAACTTTTTCTGCTCATCTTGCCACTTATTCAACTCTTCCAGCCTTTTTACTATGTCGGCCTGTTTAGCCGAAGGATTATTATTTGGGGAATTTGTGTTTAATTCGGTTTGTAACATTTCTCAACATTTAATTTATGTCTTATTTTAGATTATTTTAATTTTATTGCTACAATGTTTGAATTTTCTACATAGAAATATGAAAATCTATAGATTTTTATTAAAATATAAAGAAAATTTGAAATTTTGCGCTGTTTTGCTCGCTCTCGTAAGAAAATTTGTTTATTTACTTGTCAAAATTGTCAAACAAAGCAAAGTTTACTGCCCAGAGCCCTGCGCCGACAAATATTAACGGCTGCGGGGGCTGACACTAAAAATATCGGCGGCGGCTTAAAATCGACTGTAAGCCGGCTAAGTTCTCATATACGCTTAATTTTAAAATTTTCAAAGATTTTAAATAAAAACGGTATCCGAGAGATAAAAAAGTGGGACTTTGTATATAATTTATAACAATGAAATAGAGCAAGCACAAAAGTTGTGTGAGAAATTATGCAGGGATGGAAAAAAAATTAAAAAAAAAGAATTTAAAAATTGATTAATTCTTAAAAATTAAAAACAAATCCTTTATTTTTGCCGCATAGTGTAATCTATATAATAAAATTTTGAATAATCTAAATAACATTTTAATTTGTTTTTTTTTTTTAACTTTAATTTTTAATACGTAATTAAAAGCGCCTATCAAAATTAATTATCATACCTCTACGTGAAACATAAATAAAATAGGAAAAACTTTAAAAAAGTTCCTTTTTATTATTTGATCCAGATCACCAAATATTGGTCAAGGACACACATTTTGGGAAACGGTATCTTATAATGGACCACGAGATGACAAAAGTCAATTTATTTTCAATAGCTGTCGGCGGTAACATGGCAGCCAGCAAATCCATTAGCATTATTTTGCAGACACAAGCACACCCCGCAGCATTGTAAAATAATTTCAATTGTGTTATGCCAGTCAAAAGTGCTTGCCTTCTCGCAGCTTTTAGAGCAACGGTTCCAAAATGGGGGTCCGCGGACTCCTAGTGGTCCGTAGCAAAATCCTAGGGGGTCCGCGAAGACCAACGAAAAAAACATGAATAAACAATATTTTTTTTTATATACTTATGTGAAAAAATATTAAAAATATCTCCAATTTTTTTTTGTTCAATAATCCCAGATTTTTGGTGACTTTTTGAATTTCATTTTTTTCAGTTGTTTATCAGGGCGAAGCTATGCCCTACACATTTACTGTATCACTTTTTTAAAGTAAAGTATTACGTGATTTGCAATTTTTATTTCCTGTATATATACTGAAATATAAACCTATAATACTCTGCCTTACAAGGGATACTGGTTTCACTGGCAGGCCACATTTCCATTCCGACGTGATACACAGATTTTAACTTGATTATTAAATTAACATCAGAAAATCCATAGCGTTACGCGTAAGTATTCAAAACCACGCAGTGAAATAACTGAACCGAGTACTTTCACAAAGATTTCAAGTCATATTTTATGCGTATAACTCATTCCGCAACAACATCGAAGAAGTCCAAATTCCTTATATTATATTCCCGAAAAATTAGCTTACATACTCAACTCACCCCTCTGCAATCGCAACAAATTCTAAAAACGCTGTGTCAGGGGGCTGATAGAAGGTTTACTCAAAAAGGCCTATTAAACGGTCTTCCGTTGAAGGCCTATTAGAAGATCTGGCGCACTGTGGAAAATTTTGATTTCCGTATCGAAAATGGTTTTTGCAAAGTTTGGATTTTTGATAAAAAAATGTATATTTCGTAAAACTGAGATGACGTACTACACTAATATGTATAGACAAAGTTTTTTAACGCATCGTTTATACACTGAAAATAATCCATGCTTAACTTTACGAAAAAAAATTTCGTAACTACTTTTTTCGTAATATATACGAAAATTTCGTGTATAATACGAAATATTGTTTAATCAACCCCTTTTCTAATTTTACGAAAGTACGAAAACCTGTCGTAATATCTTTTTACGAAAGTACGAAAACCTGTCGTAATATCTTTTTTCGTATATATTAAGAAACTTTGTTTTATTTTACAAAAATAATTTCGTTAAGGCATGTAATATTTAACGAAAGTGACGAATTTTTTTCGTAACAAAATTATTTAGTAATATACAAGAATTATTTTTGATTTTACAAAAAAAAATATTTTGTTACGAATTTTTTTTTTATTATTTTCGTAATTTTAAGCGAGTTAAATTAAACGTAATTTTAAATTTACAGGAAATTAGCTGCCTAATTTCTTAAGTTTTAGAAGGCGAACATTTGATAATAAAAATTTTGGTTTATTTTAAACTAAAAGTATGTAGGTATTGACCTAATCTTGATGGAAATAATATTTTGAAAATTATTATCCAATTTGAAATATAAAAGTCACACATACTGAATGAAGGTGCTTAGCGTTTAAATATAAGAGGTTTAAAATATATCAGTAAATAATTAAATCTTTGAAGTATCTGTTAAACATAAAAAAATTGTTTTTTTTTTTAATTCGCAATCTTTTTCTAAATTTACAATAATTATTTTAAAAGAACTAACATATTTATGTCTTTAAAAAAAATCGTAAAATGAACAAATTTTTTTTCAAAAATTATATAAAATTATTTTGCATTTTACTAAAATATTTCGTACAATTTCGTATATATTACGAAAGAATTTCGTGGTGCGAAACCACGAAGCATTTCGTACAATGTACGACATTTTTCGTGTATATTAGGCATGTATTATTTTCAGTGTAAGTACATGAAACTAAAGTTTGAAATTAGGCATTTTTACATTAAATATTGAAAAGTATTTTGAAGCTCAAAGTTGAATGCAATTTTTTTATACTTTTAATTAAAGTCCAAGTATCTGTTATATATTTTTCAAAAGGGGATATAAGCAAAATTAATTTACATTTTATAAATTTTAATTATATCTTATACGTTGCATACTTTAAGAACTTAAAAATGCGGAATTTTTCTACATTAAATTTAAACTTTGAAAAGGATTTTAACTATGTAAGTGCACACGAGTACCCAGGAAAATCCTTTAGATGTTATATAGCATCACATATTATGTGATATTCATCTGCAATTATCTGCGATTAACGAAACAAAATAAAACTACACAAATTTGTCTTTAAAATCCTGTGAAAAGGATACCCACTGCACGAATTTGATTAAACTCATTAATAAGACGGAAAAAAGTCTTGTTAATACATGTCTAGATTTTAAAGAATATATGTATATAGCGAAACAAGAAAGTTATTGTTTATATGAAAATGTCATATATGTATGTATTTTTCACTGTTTGGCGGACCGATCCTCATAATTTTAGGTTTTATATAGGTTGCGGTTCCTAAAAAAGTTTTTTTTCGTCGAATTCCATTATTACATCTACATTTGAAAGCCATTTTTGTGCGTTTTAGTCATTTTCTGAAGAACATCTCATATGGGTTTAGGGTGAATTATGCTTCGATTGTCATAAAATTTGGTAGACATATTTTCGTTTCAACAAAACTTATTTCATTATGGTAGGTATTATTAAAATCAATTATTGAGATTTACATATATAATGCATACTAAGGTGATCTTTGCTATTTATTAAAATTGTGATGATCCAATTGAGTACGCATAATGCAGACCTGTTCCAACAGGCCATTCGAAATGAAGTGATATTCATTCAAATCCAAACACATTTCCTCATTTCTTCTAAAGTTATTTTGCCATTCTTGATGATACAGACGCAAGTACATCAAGTGATCGGAAGGAATACCATCAGTTTTTTTATTAATGATTCATATAGTGTGACAACTCTAAGGGATCTAAAGTCGACATAAAGCCCACAATGGTTAGTACCGGATCCAAGCATTGCAATTATGTAAATAACAAACACCAATATTTTGCCCAAACATCTATATAAGACGACAGCCTTGCCAGGTTATATCCTCTAGGTCCGTGAAGACATTCTCTACAGTGCGATAAATTTGTATTAAAGGCGACTTAACAATTGTTTCTTGTAAATATTTGGCCACCATAGTGTTTGGAGACAACAAGAGCTTCACTGAAAAGCACACCAGACAGACATCGCGCTCTATTATTGTTGTATGGTAGTGATTCTGCTGATATCAATGGTATAATAATAATTATGTATCCTTGTGGTAACCCCTGGATACGGCAATCAGCGTCCGTACATTGCCTCTAGGTGATAATATACCATGTCACCACTAGCCGACCGACCACCACCCACCTAGGTGACTAGGGAGGTTTACAATTGCCACTCTCTTGTGGGCATTCTTCCAGTAGACCATCATGATGCCTCCTCTTTCTTAAAAAGAAAGACGTTAATCTTCTAGATCTCACAAACAGGCCAAATCAATCAATATTTTTAGTATTTACACTTAAAAACTTTTTCAATAAACAATTATGTTATTTCCAATAACAAAATTATATATATTTTATAACTTTTTTAAAAAAATTCAAACAATTTCCAAACTGAACACGTTCTACGTTTGTTACAAACTCAAATAAAGAATTTGCTAAAATTGGCGCGAAAACATGCGACTGCGCGCAAAAAATTGCGGAATTTTTCCTTCAAACAGATTTTGTTTGATGTCCCATTTAAAATACATTTGTTTGACGACCTAGGAAACTCTGGTTTGTCAAACAGCAATGTATTTTTCGTATCTCGTGTTTGCTACAAACACAAAGTGTTTGAAGTAAAAGCAGCGACTCGAATTAGGCGCGTAAACACGAAAATATCTGAGGCGAAGCAAATACATCGAACGTTGAGCACTTTGCTCCGTTGTTTTACACCGGCCAAATTTCAATGAGCGGCTTATTATTAGATAAATAAAAAACTAGCTTAAATGAAAACAAATTAATTTTATATTGTAAAATTCCATAAATTTAGCGAAAGTGGTCTGTAATGTGGACAAAATATGGCGAAATTGTCAAGCCGTATTGAGCTGAAAAAATTATCGGCGGCTTTGACATTTTGTTCGGCGGCTAGGCTTAGTCGACGGCTTAAGCCAATTCGGCGCAAGTCTCTGTTACTGCCCGAGCGAATTCGGATTTTGTGGGATGCCACACAGCAAAATCAAAAAAATATAGGAATATAAAACTCTAGCAAAATGTAAACAAATCAGTTTATTTACAATACGACAACTCTGCAAACGGCAAATTTCATACTGACATTTAAACATCCCTGTTTTTGTAGTATTATCATTTGACATTTCTAAAAAAAGTCTGAAAAAACTTAAAGAATTTGTTTTCATTGTGAAAAATTACAAGAATATTATAAATTAAACAAGTTTTAAGCATTTAATAGCAACAAACAAAATGCCGGTAAGTTAAACTAAAAACCTAAAACAAAAATAAAAGCTAAATAGACTTAGAAACTCCAAAATATATTAATCCCTCCTAGGGTGGGGTTAAAAACAAAGGTTTCTTCCTAAAACTATAAACATTCTACCCTTTTTACTTAATTTATGTCTCTTATCCAGGCTTATCATTCCACCATTAAAGAGTTTCCCTCGATGGTTGGTAATATGGCTATATTACCTTTGAGAACTCAGTACCGAGGACCAGCTCCAGCACAAATGAGTAATGATAACGATATCATTGATGAGTCACTGTACTACTTTAAAGCAAATGTATTCTTTCGCACCTATGAGATAAAGGTATAAACAACATAAATAGAAAAGACCAATTTCATTATTAATTATTATATTTTTCAGTCGGAAGTGGATCGTACTTTAATTTATATTACTTTATATATAACGGAATGTTTGAAGAAACTGCAACGCTGTTCCAATAAGAATCAAGGCCAACAAGAAATGTATAGCTTGGCCATATCCAAATTTGATTTACCTGGAGAGGCTGGTTTTCCCTTAAACGCTGTATATGCCAAGCCACAAACGGCACAGGATTCAGGTATCTATAATACTCATTTCAATAGTAACTTGACAGTATCTTCTTATTATATTACAGAATTAATGAGACAGTATTTATTGCAATTGCGACATGAAACTGGCAACCGTGTTTTGGAGAAAGTATTTAACACTGAAGATGGTAAACCTAACAAATGGTGGATCTGTTTTGCCAAAAAGAAGTTCATGGAGAAATCATTATCTGGCCCAGGTCAATAAAATCCTTAAGACTTAAGGCTTGTTATAAGATAAAGACTTCCATTTATAAAAAGGGCATTATATAGCTACAACAAATTTCTTACTTTTTAATTAAAAAACCTAGTTTGTTTTAGTATTTCAACTAAATATTTAATGAAATTAACACATATTCATACACAGTTTAAATTTATATTTATTTTAAGCTACATCATTAACATCCTTAAAGGAAACATTTGCTCTTTTTTCTCTATTCTCCGAGAATCTTAACGATACAAATGATCGGCTTGTAAATTGGAGGCAATCTCAGATTCCCACTTATCACCATTGCTTAAGAGTTTTTCCTTGTTATACAATAATTCTTCATGTGTTTCAGTGGAGAATTCAAAATTGGGTCCCTCCACAATAGCATCAACAGGACAGGCTTCCTAAAATAACAAACAATAAAAAAGCAATTAATTGTTGTACTCAATATATATGCAAATTTAAAAAAACAAAACACCCACCTGACAGAAACCACAGTAGATACATTTAGTCATATCAATATCATAACGGGTGGTTCTTCTGCTGCCATCAGCACGTTCCTCAGCCTCAATTGTAATAGCCTGAGCGGGGCAAATGGCTTCGCATAATTTGCAGGCAATGCAACGTTCCTCACCACTGGGATAACGACGCAAAGCATGTTCACCACGGAATCTGGGCGACAAAGGTCCCTTTTCGAAGGGATAATTGATGGTGGCAGGCTCCTTGAAAATGTGAGCCAATGTAACACCAAAACCACGCATCAATTCACTGAGGAAAATGGTAGAGGCCGCTCTATCAGTGACATCCTTCAAATCCATGCTTTCCTCTTTGTTGTTGACATATTTATAACCTGCTGGAACATGGACAATGTCTTTGGCTTCCTGAGGATTGCTGCTCATCAAACGAGAACTGGCAGCAAACATGCGCTGGCCTAGAAAACAAAATATATTAATAAATGGCACTTAAAAGCTTTTTGCACTTATCAAAAAAAATATATATATTTATTGAGAAATCTACTGTAATCAAATAGCCTTAAACTATGAATATTTTTTACTCCCGGTCACTTAATGCTACAAAACACTTCACTTAACACCACTGTCTCTGCCGGGGTAATTGTTTACACCAGCAAAATTGCAGGTTCGTAATAAAATGAAGCTTAAATCTTGACTTCTATAAGGTTCTTAAATCCTGGAGCACATTATCCATATTAACGACAACATTTAAACATAAATTGCACTTAAATTCTTGGCCAAAATTCAATATTTTTGCACTTTTTTGATGACATAAGTGACCATAACCTCAATTTAAGAAAAACACAAATTCCTGTTATATTTCCAAGGAATATTTGCCTATATTGTTTATAAAACCAATTACCATTACGTGAAGCCGTGAATAGTCTCATAGACAAAGACATGGTTCCTTGGTTAAACGTCGAAAATCCTTTACGAAAGAAATTTATTTAATTTACTAACAAAAAAATTGTATTTTTTTGTTTTTGACAAGAAGAACTAAAAATCAATGCGAATGTCAAAAGATGTAAAGAAAAAAAAAACAACAAACATATGTTTTCTCTTTATGGATATGGCAGCACTGATATATTTACTGCGTTTTGTTTTGATCGTAAAATTCGTTGGTGTTTTTTCAATGGATAGTATGATTACAATTCGAGTGACAACCACAATTGATTCAAATAGTTCTTTAAACGTGAGATATACATAAAAGGATTTATCGCACAATTAAGATTTTATTTTTGAGTAAACTAGATGGATGTTTAGATAGATAAATAGATACACAGAAGGAAAAATAAATAAACATTCAATTCTATGTAACGATCAGCTTATAATTGAAACCATAATTGTCTATGAAATCCAGCATACTCTTTATTTTTATCATGCTAACTCCACAATTAAAGATTTTGGAAAAATTGTAATAATAACGGGTTTTTCCAACCTATTTATTTGATTTCTTGTCAAATAAAACGTCAGCCACAAACTATACAGAAGTGTCACCTTTGACATTTAAAAACCCTATGCATTAGCTACATGAATCTACTACACATCATTTCTTCTACTTTGTAGTTAAATAATATTAATTCTTTATTTCATATTCATAACTGCTTAATAAAGTTGTTGATGGTTTACTGTAAGAATTTTGTATGAAATATGTAAGTAATAAACCTAAATTAAACGATTAATATCTGCATAAATAAGTGTATTAAACATTGGACAAACTGACACATAATCCCCACTTTCAAGGACATTTATATCTTAAAAACGCCTAGATTAATGAAATGTTCATGATTTTAGCTTTTTAATAGTATGGTTACTCCCTTTAAAAGGCCAGCTGTTTACTACTATACCGTTGGTTAGAAAGAGACGACTATAAGAATTAACCATATGTCTCTTAAAGTTGCCAGATGCCGACATATATAACAAAATATAAATATTTTATTATGTTTTTAATATAATTCAATTAATTTTTATATTAATGTCTATGTTTAAAACTAAAAACAAACTATCCGCCGTTAAACATTGTTTTCTTTAACAAAACATTCGTAATCTTATAAGATTAGTAACAAAAGGTCCAGGTATGGAGAAGTGCTATTTAAATTCGTAGAGAATTCTAAACAAAACTGCACTATTTTATTCAAGTGAATCTTGTAAGATGAAATAAATATGTTAATTATAACAAAATAAAATTTCTAAAATAAAAAAGTATAATAAAACCAAAAGCTTAACAATTACTTTTTCTCTTTACAATCTAAATTTACTTTAAAAAAGTACTAAATAAGACAAGCAGTTACAAAAAGTACTCAAAGAAACGAATTAACGATAGTATTGAATTTTCCATTCCTGCTAAAAAGACATTTTAGGTGAGGTTCATATAATTCGCTGTGGTATTTAGGAAAAAATCTCAATTTTAACTTGCAACTACAAAATAAATTAAAAATTTATACAAAATATCATTAATTAAGTATTAAGTGACAATAATTGTGGTTTAGTGATTAAAAGAAAAGCAATTAATAGAAGAAAAATGCCACCAAAAGAACGTAATATTGCTATGATGGGCTACAGAAGTGTGGGTAAGTTGGTTGATTGGTTCTTTTTTCATTCGTTTTCTTTTTAATACTCTTGTGTCGTTTTTTATTTTTTAATTATTTTTTTTCTTTATACTTTTGCGTTTTATTTATTTATTATTATGTTGTTGTTTTAAATGGAAAAATTCAATGTAATATTTACGTTTTTTTTTTGTTTATTTCTTATTTTTACAGGCAAATCCTCTTTGAGTATACAATTTGTAGAGGGACAATTTGTGGATTCCTATGATCCAACAATAGAAAATAGTAAGTACGATTATAATTGTATTTTAATTTCAATTTGGAGGGGGTTTTGGTAGGAAGAGTAACAACCTTTAACATATTGTTTTAATTTTCTCAGAAAAAAACGAAATGTTTTTAGTTTAATGTTTTATATTTTTTTATTACAAAACTGCGTAGTTTTTGTATATTATTCATCATAAGGTGTAATTTGTATTCGAGTCCAGTTTAACCTACTTTCTTTTGCAATTTTTTTAAAATACTCGTTTAATGTTTTATGTCAAGGTTAATGTTTATTTCATATAGACTGGCAGTCAGATAGATATCTTATAGAGGGAAGAGGGCATCGTATGATTGTGTCTATAGCTAAAATATTTTATCAGTTGTTAATAATATTATACATAATAGAAAGAGAAGAATACCAACATATTTTAACAGCAGTTCTAGAAGCCAGAAGTATAGACCAAGCAGGTTGTACATAGTTTTTCAAGTTTTAACTTTTGGAACTGTTTTTGAGAAACCAGTTAAAAGAGTGGTGAGTTTTTGTATAAACTAGTTCTAGGGAATCATTTTAAAAACAAATACCTACAACTTTAGCAAAAATTCTAGAACTTGCTCACTTTTCAATAATTTATGTTTGAAATTTGTTTTAAGAATTATAAATTTTTAATGAATCACTCGTAGAATACGGAAAACAATTACCCTTATTATACGTGTTTATGCGTTCTTTATAACGTTTTGCTAAAATGATCTTTATTGTTTATTATATGGAATTTCCAATTAATTTTGCAAATAAAAAAAATTAAATAATTTTAGTACAGGCTGTTTATTAACCCTCCTAGGCCATTGCACTGTTAAAATGACATGTAGCTTTCGCTAAAGTATTCAAATTAAAACTGTTGCATACATCAAGGAAAACGGGGGGTCAAAGTTTTATTCGCTATGGGCTATTGTCTCACAGAAATATCGAAATTATCAAACAATTGCTAGAGAAGGAATATGAAAATTGATCTATCTATCTATCTATCTATCTATCTATCTATCTATCTATCTATCTATCTATCTATCTATCTATCTATCTATCTATCTATCTATCTATCTATCTATCTATCTATCTATCTATCTATCTATCTATCTATCTATCTATCTATCTATCTATCTTCCTATCTATCTATCTATCTATCTATCTATCTATCTATCTATCTATCTATCTATCTATCTATCTATCTATCTATCTATCTATCTATCTATCTATCTATCTATCTATCTATCTATCTATCTATCTATCTATCTATCTATCATCTATCTATCTATCTATCTATCTATCTATCTATCTATCTATCTATCTATCTATCTATCTATCTATCTATCTATCTATCTATCTATCTATCTATCTATCTATCTATCTATCTATCTATCTATCTATCTATCTATCTTCTATCTATCTATCTATCTATCTATCTATCTATCTATCTATCTATCTATCTATCTATCTATCTATCTATCTATCTATCTATCTATCTATCTATCTATCTATCTATCTATCTATCTATCTATCTATCTATCTATCTATCT